AAGCCACCCTGTGATCGCATCGGCTCCCCATCCCCTCCCCGAGCCACCCAGCCGCTCCCCACATGCAGAGACACCAACGACAAGCGTGAGGCTGGGCACCTCCTTGAAGCACAAGCACTTTACAGGAGCGGGTGGCTGGCTAGGAGAGCTCGAGGACCTGCCATCTCCGTCACGGTTATTGTTGTTTCCCAGGAAATACATCAATCTTGTGCTAGCTGCACAGGAACTTCACACAGCGTTTGCCAAGGATTTGGTCAAGTGCAGTGGGACATTCAAGGTCGTACGGGGCCGGCGGAATGCCAGCCGTGATGTGAGCAGCACACGCAGGAGGCAGGTCTCAGCCCAAGCAGTGCCACGCTCAGCGGCCCCACGGCGTGTGTGCCACAGCAAGGGGCACCAGGGGACAGGAGGAGGGGAGAGACAGCAGACATGGAAACTTCTTAAAAAGAGTGCTCTGGTGCTCTCGAGCCAGACTTCAGAAACCCAAAAGCAGAACAGGATCAAGAGAGCCTTGTGCCTCCAGAAGTATAACCGACCAACATCCTAGGATGTTCATTCTGTCTTTAAAAGAAGCCTTCAGACAAAACTGTAAGGCAGTTGTCTATCTTATGATGGTTTTAAATAAGGGAAATTCAGGCCCAGTCTCCTGGCAGCAGGAAAAATTACTGTCACATTTACCCCGTTTATCATCTAACACTTAAAACTGAGAAACTGTTACACCTAGTAGCGCTAGTGAAATACAAAAGGTTTCCAACCTTAAATTACTCCCTGCTGGTCTCTGTTATGAAAGCCTCACTGGTACTTTTTCTTCAAGGGTAGAGTACAGCTACCAGCATGTACAAAATTACCTTTTAATTAATACTTAATCATCTTGAGCATGATATTTTCTTGTATGGACCATTTTTTTTCTGTATTCTGTCATTTTGTACTTACTTACTTACACACCTGAACACAGTCTTATATGTTCTTATGCAGTGTAATATATGGCACTTTAAAGACTTTGACTTTCGAGTGACTATGTTTATCAGCTGTTTCAAGATTGTTTTGGTGAAATGTTACAAAAGCACAAAAACTGACAAACACATAAGAATCACTAAAACCAAAGTTTGCTGCAAAGTGAGTTTTCAAAGCAGCATCCAGGGATTCAATCACCACTCAGCAACGTCAGTGGCATCATGACTGCAGGTAAATTCCTGCTGGCTATTAAACTCCTGGTTACCCTGAGAGCCATAGTTCAGAGCTCATCTTTCCCCAAGTAACTAAATGCCAGCAGCCTTTGGAAAACTGTTCCTCTGAAAAGCAAGATGGGAAGCAAAACTGCCATGGATTCAGACCCAGGAGGTTCTCAGACTCGTGGCAGATGTCTGTGTCCGGAGGGTGCTCGCCTGGCACCACCAGCCACCCGAACTCTGCCTTCCCTCCGAGATGCCGCTTTCACCCGAGTCAGGAGCTTATTGCTGTCATACACCAACAGCTTCCACATCTGCCCCGACAAAGTCCACTCTGACCAGCTCTTATTTATACCGTATAAATTGAAGTATCATAGGCTCAAATGAGGTGCAGATACATTTTACATTCACGCACCCTGAAAAAAATAACCAGAAAAAAATTTCCAAGCATGCTGAGTAGCAAGCAGAAACTGTAACTATATTTTTCCAGGTCTCTACCTTACCTCTGAAATTCCACACCGAGATAAAGCATTCAATTTCTGAAGGGGTGCAGAGACTAAAAAAACAAGCTGAGCTTTCACCTCTCAGGCTGAGATGTGCAGTAAATTTAAAGTACATTTGGGAATGGTTCATGTGAAATTATTTTTCTTTTCTGTACTTCCTGGATGACGTATCAAGAGTCACAGGCATCAAAGCCTCATCTGTGCAGATTCATGAACTTTTACTTCAAATTGCTGGAGAAGGGGAGCAAAGACACTAGGGTACCTTCAACACTGACCCAGCATCTTGCTTGGAGGTTTCTGGCAGTTATTTCCCTTGTCTATCTGTAAAGGGAAAGGTGAAGCCTACATACTTACTGTGAATCCTCAGTGGAAAAGCACGATGGAAGCACAGCATGCTGCTTTAAACTTCCAAAGCATCTGGATGTGACAGCAGCCAGCGTTTCCCAGAGCCATCCAGATAAATGGAAAAGCACGAGCAGCCGGTTTTGGGGACCCAGGACTGGAGAAGACATCCTAGGGCACCAAAGTCCATTCCTCTGCTGCTGCTGAAAAAAACTCTCTTCATACATTTTCTTACAGCCCTTCCCCCCCTTCTAGAGCTATTTCACAACCTTTGGCTTCAACTTAGCTTATTTACAACTGCCTTATGCACACTTCTTCTTGTGACTGTACTTTTAGTTTAAGAAGCTTCTTCCTTCTGCTGGTGTTTACAGCCAGCCCCATCCTCTCTCTGACTTCATTTTGTTAGGGACTTATCTAAGCTTTCAGTCTCTGCTCAGAGACTAGCCTGTTCCCTAATCATCCCTGGCCCCGCTCCAGTTTGAATTTATCTTTCTCAAATGTGGGTGACTGGCTCTGCATAAACTATTAGAGATAAGATGGCAGGAAGGCCTTGTAAACAGCATTAATATGGCTTTAATATTTAAGGGAAGAAACTCTCCTGATTCATCCTGGGACACTCACTCTGAGATTTCCAACGTGCAGCAGAAACTCATGGGCTTAAGTCCCCAGCAGCACAAAACAAAGGATGGCGCTCAGTACCACTTCTGTTTCTCTGCTGCCCAAGGGTAAACCTGCTTCTCCGGCACGTCCCCTTCGGCACGACCTTCCCTGCCGACCGTGTCTCACCGGCACGTGTTCCCAACGTACCCGTCTGCTTTGCACCAGGCTCACGAGAAGGTCGTTGCTGGTCCATCGTCTCTCTCCCTGCTGAAGAGCTTCACTAACAACCTCTCCTCACCCCAAAGAGTGTTAAAAGGGAACTACTGCTACTACCTTCTCCCTAGGACTCTCCGTCTGATACCAACTCCTTGATCCAGCTGGATAAGAGCCTTCTGCAGACTGTGCCTGGGGGCTGCGCTTGCCCCTTCATGATCTTCCCAGCTCTCTACTGCCAGCTCTTGTCAGAGACTATCAGGCTACCTGGATTCTTGCTTTTATCTAACACAGCTGTTCTCAGCCCCACATCATCATTCGTTGAGAAGCAGAAGCATTTATTTAAAACTGAACTGCAGAGAGCCCGCAGATCTGCGCTCCTGCTCACCGCCGTGTCACCAGACAGGTGACCTTCCAGTGCTATCGCCAAAAACCTCCCAGGAAATTAAATGTGCAGCTTTGTCACATTGAACACCTCGGCACCTCGTGCAGCTGAGCCAATTCTGCTGTCGCGTACGTGACCAAGGTGTCTAAGACAGACCTACACCACTCACAGCACCATGAACGCTGGTTTCTGTTCACAGCCTGCTCGCCAGCAAACAAGCCACCCAGCTGAGCTTGCCATAGTGCTAGCACAGAGCCTGCATAGACATTTTTAGCCCTTTCATAATTACATATAATTAAAATGTTTTTAAAACTACAGATTGTCACAAGTCTGCTCATTTAAAATAGCTTCTCCTTTTCAGTACAAAAGGCAACTCCAAAACTCCCTAAGTCAAAGAATAATATTAATAATCATAATATCACGAGCTTGAATACTCCAATTAAACCAGCCTAGATCCGGCCAGTACTTGGATGGATTCCTTGCAATGTAAAGGCAAAGCAAGGCAAGTCTGCAGAAAGACATGCAAGAAGCTCTAAAGAGTAATTTTTTGAGTAATATGCAAATCCAGAAGGCAGTAACTACCAATTATCATCTTCTGTGGCACATTTCCAGAAGCAGTAGGTGCACTCCTGGCCAAAACCCAGCTCTAATTATACAGTGTCCACCTACTACTAAATTTCATCTGCAAGTTATTTTTCACGTTCTCTTTATAAAATGCATTGACTAGGGTTACTGGCACAGAACAACTAACGCCTTCTGTCCAAGACCAGGCGCATTTGAAGTGTACGACCCAATTCAAATTGGTTTTATTATTTCTCATCATACTAATTGGACAAAAGACAGAACATTATTAACTAGAATTGACTAAGCCAAGGAGAAGCTTCACTGTAAAGAAACAAAGCTAGATATCACATCCAAGTTTTTACCAAGTTTCAAATTCTTAAATCAATGCAGATTGACAGCTAAACCTCTAGGGTCTGCCATCTGCCAGAGACGCTCTCTACCTCCCTTCTTTGTTCTAAAACAGTCTTATCTGGGCAGCAAAGACCTGATCAATACCGAGATGAGTAACGGCAGTGACAAAACAACAGCCGTTCCTGGACTGAAGTGCCTGGTTATCTACTGGTTTTCAGTGCCAGAATGGAAATACATTATTCTGGATGCCCCAAACCGCTTTTGTGAAGGCTGAAGCAATGCTGAAGCCAGTTAATTTCACAATGCTCTCACAGTAACAAAAATCAATGCTTTTAAGTCTTAGCCTTCAACAAAGAATCTGATATCTTTTTTCCCCTCTCAAGTGACTGCAGAAGCACCCTGTTTATTCCACTGCGGCCTGTGCAGCCCCTTCATGTTAGGCTTATACTAATCTCAACCAAGCCAGAACTATATGAAGAGGTTATGCAGAAGAAATTGAGGTAAGAGAAAGATTTACTAAAGTGATGAAAAATGATCCTTAAAGTACCATGACACATTGGGAAGGAACAGTTCTCCCAACTGTTCTGTGCACAAATCCCACCAAAAGCAGCTCAATCAGTTACTGGGCTGAAAAAATAAGTCAGTCCAAGATGTAACAGAGATGAACAGACTCCCTGCATCAGCTAATGCCTCTTGCCTCGTCTCTCAGCATTGCAATGCCTCTGCTTCCTGAACATACAACTTACACATATAAAGTTGGCTTTTTTTTATTCGAAGGGATTTTGTTTGTTTGAAGTGTTATTCTTAAATATTCATTTGTTACAGTTACAAAATTAACAACTACACCTTTAAATAAGTCATAGAAATACTTACAGACCAAATAATTATCATCCTTCTAGACACAGAGTGATCTATGTTCCAGTAGGTAAATGGAAGGAAAGTGATATAAAAAATCTCTTCGCCCAAAGCAGCTGAAAACTTGAACAAGTAGTAGTAGAAGTAGTTCTTCACAATATACTTCTGTGCGTGAGCCTGGAAATTAGAGGATTTTAGTTTTAGTGAATTAGCAAATTACAGCAAGCATTTAAGATATTTTTACCTGTTACAGTTCCCAGCCCTTAAACCAAATAATTTGTTGGAATAAGTGTCAAGAAATAAAGCTCCATTTTTATCCTGAAATGAAGACTACAGTGATAGCTCAACCACATTTCCTGCAGATCAGAAATCTATTCAAACTAATTAAGGGTAGCAGTCACACTGACAAAGATTTCCAAGAGATCGGATCAGTCTTTCCTCCAGGGAAATCAAGTATATTTCATAACAGGGTACCAATGCATTAATTTTGAAGTTTGTACACCTGTAGATAAAGAGAGCCACCATTGCTTTCACTGGAAATGTGTTTTGAGATTAAAAAAGTAAACTGCAATTACTGAACCATTTCATCTAAAATCTGCCTCATTACAGCAGGCAAAGCGTACCCTGCCAGTCCCTGAAATTCGGCGTCAGGTGCCGCTGTCAACAGCATCCCCTGCACTGCCCTCAACACCACGGGATGCTCGTTGGGTCGCCCCGCGCCGAGATGCCACGGGAGCTGGCTCGGCCACCGCAGCTGCACGGGCGCATCCGCGGGAAGAAGAGGGCTGCGAGTGGGCAGAGAGAAGAGCCGCCCTTGTCATCACCACATGTTCGCTCCGATATCTTTAAGTAACAACCACCAGGTTGTCTCTTGAAACATTACCAGCAGATACATTGCAAACAGTATCAGGTGACACTGTTTAGAACTCTATTCATTTTATTAAGCTAGAGATTTCACTTTTCTTGGTATTTGGCAGCTAGATCATTTCATTAGATGTACCCCACCTAACACACGTGTCTTCTCTCTTCTGAAAGGCTGCACCCAGCCCACCAGAGCTGGGAAGCCACACAGCAGCGTGTATTATTAAGGCCATGACTTCGGTCACTTGTGGAAAGGTCTGCTGTTGCTGCCATCTGGGACTAGTACACCACTAAGAAGCTTCCCACCCTGCTAGCAGGAACAACATGCAAGTGAATCACTGTACAATTCAGAAAAAAAAGCAGAGATACACAAACATCATTTTTGATCTGGGGTCAGGAGCAAGGGAACCAATCTAGTTGCTTTCCATCTCCCCAAAAACAACAACAACAAAAAGATATATAAGTTGGCTATGTAAATATGAGATGAAGGAACTAAAGATGAGAGCTGAGAAGCGATCATGAAGGTTTCAGCATAGGCACACTAAGTTAAGATGTAGCTCCTAAAGCTCTTCTAAGAGGAAAACTATTATGTTCAGAGTTGACCGTGTAACTAATCTAGCAGAGAGAAACTCTCATCTTACATGCTACTGAGAAAACATAAAAACTGTGTAAGGAGTCTAGACATGCAATTGTGACTCATTGTAAAAGACATTAGAAATTCCAGTCCCTTAATCTGCTTTCAATATGGAGATGAGGCAAACTGCATGAAGACAAGAAAAGATGGAAAAAAGCTACATCCAATCACCCGTCATAGAAAAAAACCCACAATTTGAATCGATTTGCACATTGATAAACAGAAAAGATGAGTCAACACTTTTGAAATGCTGGGGTCAGAGGAGTGTTCCCCCATGTATTAGTAATAGACACCACAGATGAGTTACTGGCATCCCTCTGAGATAATGCAGCAGTACGCTATGGCTGGCCGAACGACAGAGCAATCACTCTAAGTGTCTCAAGTCTCATACGCCACTTAGAAAACACCCCCCGTGCAATTAGCAACTCTGATGCTTCCATCTGAGATCCCGAAATCTTATTTGGTCACACTTAAAGAGAAAGCCCCCTTCTGGCATCACTAATTCTTCAATTAAGCCTCAATCTCCAATGTATTAGGAATTATGTGCTTGTGTGCTTTAGATCAAAGATGATCAGACATATCCCTAAGGTAATGCTTTTGTACTTGGAACCTCATGGGATAAGGGATAAAACTTTAATTCCGGTAATCTGTTTTGTGAGGAAAAAAAATAATTTTTCAGGTCCTAAAAGAAATCGGGAGTTAAAAAAAAAAATATTTCCAGGCAGAAGGCAGGGCCAAGTCCTTCCACATGATTTTAAAAATCTTTGTCTTTCTTCCTTTCCTTTTCTATCAGAAATCACATCCCCTCTTGTTTGGGTTTTTTTGGTTGGTTGTTTTTTTAACACTACACCAGCAGTTCTAGATAGCCCAGTGTGAGAGGCAGTGGACAAACAGATCACACCTGTGACACAGGATGGTAACAGCCACATGTCAGTCATGCAAGGTATCACAGAATCGCTCCACTTGATTTTAGGTAGTATACAGTAAAAAAAAAAAAAAAAAAAAAAAAGGCAGTGTTTTCAATCATTGTGATCCTAAAGCACTGTAAGTACAGAAGGCACACTCCATGCCCCTTCGTACCCTGGCCCCTGAGAGGGCCACATTCAGCGGCAGCAGTTAGCTCATGTTTACTATTTATATCCATTATTTCTGCAGAAAGCAAAGACTACGGTGCTTTGTGAAGAGACTTCCCTTTTTATTCTCATTCTAACTCCAGTGCAGGAAAAAAACATTACAATTATTTGTGTGAAATTTAGTACCTTCTAACACTCTCGGTAGTTTATTCAATCTCTACTTTTAAATAACTCTGATCGTTAGACGTGGTTATTCTTAATGTACTCAAGTGACCTGATGCTTTCCACAATCTCTGAAGCACTTTCAGTGAGTCAGCCCCTCCATCCATCTCCATCACCACTCCATCTGGATCAGAGAGGTTTTAATGGGCAGTAATTAAGGCTGTAGAGAAAGTCAGAATTTTTAGAACATTTCAGAAGCAAGGTGTAATAAGCCATGACATTCCCACACACAGGAGACTGGTAATTTCACACAAATGACCCTTCTTATCAACAATAAAATATCTATTTTGAATAAACTTAATTGCTCAAATTACAAGAGACTTATATGAACGTGTGAGTCTCCATAAATTAACTACTCACCTGAAGTAGTGGCGCAGAAAACAGCTACTGTAGGTCCATCTTAACTCCACAGTCTCTGCACACGGGTCACGGGTGGGTCACCCACACCAGGTGCTGCCCCATGCGTGCTCGGGGGTCCCACCCAGCCTCCCCCACAGCAGGGGAGCCCCCCAAAGCCTCCCTGCAGAGCAGATCAAACCACCACCACCGTGACTTGTGAGAGACACTAACACACAAAGACACGGCAGAGCAGGAACCCCTAACTTTAGAAAGGGTGTACATCAACAATATTTAGCCTTTATAGCTGAAATAAAGAAACAGGTGTTGAAACACTAACATAATAGATTTAAAATGTATTTTTAGGCAGAGGTGTATCTCCCACAGGACAAAACAACAACAAAAAAAAAAACAGTGTAAAGGTACCACTCTTTCCAATTCCTGTAGGATCTCTCTTGTCAGAGCATTAAACACGCACTGGCTTTCCCTGCCCTGTCTCTAGTGACAAGCTTTGCAGCGTCAGACTTCTGAGGCTCAGAGCCTGACCCAGAGATACCATTAACCAACATTTTGTTCTCAGCTCTCAATTACTTTGGATCTTTCAGAAGACGTGCATGTTTAATTAGAGTTCTTGAAACCCCTTGCTTCCCTTCCAACAGAACTGCCTTGCAGAGGACCAGAAATTTCCCTCCCAAATACCCTAGCTGATGCATTACAATACTTCTCACTTAAGGGATTTTTAATGCTGAAAAAAGACACAAAATTTAGAGAAGCCACAGAGACCAGGCACAGGAAAAAACAGGCCAAAAATTCCTGTCTAGATGCTGCTGTACACAACAGAGACAATATAAATCAGATAATTTAGTCCCGCAGGGCAGTACTGTGTGGAGTATAACCGGTGGGAAAAAAAACAAAAAACTTCTGTACTGCAGTATTCTATATAAGCAGTCAGTTTTACATCACCTATATTTATTAACTGTGCCCAGATAATAAAAGACCCTATCAAGTCACAAGAAAAAAATCAGATATCGGTGATCAGATTTTGGAAAATAAGAAAAAGCAAAAATCACAGTATGAGTCTTCAGCTCTTCCATTCATTTGCACAGCTAAATGTCAAACAATTTCAGAGTTTTGTGAAGATCCAACAAGCAGCTGAGAGCAGCCAGCAACATCTCTAGCACCTGTGCGTTCACCTTCCCTGGGAGCACCAATGTTAGAAACTCATTGCTCCTCGATGAAAGAGCAGGATGGCCAGGAGAAAGGAGCTGTGCCCCAGTGGGAGATCCTGATGGGGCCGTGAGCCCCTGACAGGGAAAGGTTGGGGACACAGGACTGGTGGTGAGCTGATGGAGGAGGTGGACGAGGGACACAGAGACATGGAAGAAAATGCAGAGATGTCAGAAAGACAGCAGAGGGGAAGGTTGGCAGCACACAGAGCCTGCACACAGTGCACATAAGGAGCCCGAAGGCATGAAAAGTTACCTAACCAAACTCATATGTATGTGCAGCTTCCTGCTCTGTTCAGGCACTTTTAATCAAGTAATTCTTTTTTACCCTCTCTAGAATGCGATGCAGCCAGTTAGCAATAGCTGTCCAGGTTTACACAGTGTCCTTGTTGGAGAGACACCTAGAGCTAACTGAAACCTGAAAAACATGGGGATGAAGACAAAGAGAAATCACAAGAAAACCCCCCTTAAATGCTGTAAAGTTCTGACCACCTCTGCTATTATCAGAAAGTGCTTGTTTCCTAGTACTCAAATAGGCAATGTCCAACTCACAGCTGTTGTGCAAGCATTTCTGGTGGCATGCACTAATGGCATAATGACTAGGATCATAGCTCTGAATCATCATTTGATGCAGAAGCAAGACAATCGCTGCATGAGAAGTAACAACGTGCGAGCTTCAAGCCAGACAATCATAGTACTTTCAGTGGTCTCAGGAAAAGAACAAGTGGGGAGTCTAAAAATCAGGCAGACTTCTGGTAGCATTTCAGTAGTTTCTTAGTTCATTCAAAACACCAAAAAAGGCCATTATGTAAAGCTCTCAGGAAG